AAATTTGTGTCATCCTTGCTAATCTTCTCTGTATCATTCCAAATTTAGTATATGAGCTGCCAAAGTGAGCCCAATAGGTACATTTATGACACAGATTGTAGTGGTGGTTTTAGGGGTCTATACTTATCTCTAAACTCATCAAATTGTGTACATTTACTATTTACAGCCTTTTGTATGTCAAGCATACCTCAATACGGTGGTTTAAAAAAGATAAGAGTATGCTGTCTAATTTTCATGTGCTTGTGAGTTTTCCAGTTTTCCTTGTTAGTGATTTCTAGTGTTATTTCATTGTGGTCTGGGAACATAGTTTGGGTTCTTTTTAAAGGCTACCGCAACTTGTTCTGTGGCCTAACATATGGTCTGTCCTAGAGACTGTCCCAGGTGCATTTAAGAAAAATGTGCATTCTGCTTTTGTTGAATGCACTTTTCTTTATGTGTTTGTTGGGTGTCGTTGGTTTACAATGTTGCTCAAGTCCTTTGTTTCCTTATTAATCTTGTCTGGTTGTTCTATCTATTATTAAAAAGAGAGTATTGAAGTCTATTATAGTAGAACTGTCTCCTGGCAATTTTTGCTCCAAAAACTTTGGTGCTCTGTTGTTACATACCTTTTTAAAAAAATAGCTGTTACATGGATTAAACCTTTTAATCTATACTGTTTTTCATCTCTGGTAACAATTTTTGATTTATAGCCTATGGTGGCTGGTATTTGTATAGCTACCCAGCTAAGTTTCTTTATTATTTGTGTGGAACATCTTTTTACATCCTTTCACTTTCAACCTTTCTATGCCTTAGGATCAAAAGTGAGCCTTTTGTAGACGGCATACAGTGGAGTTATGTCTATCTTAAAAAAATTATCCATTCTTACAAACTTTGACTTTTAATGGAGAGTTTAATCCATTTACATTTAAAGTAACTATTGATAAAGGAAGAATTACTTCTGTCATTTTGCTACTTGTTTTACACGTCTTATTATCTTTGTTTTGTAATTCCTCCCTTACTTCCTTCTTTGTGTGTGTGCTTGTGTATGTATATAGTTTCAGATCTCTTCTTATTTCCTTTTCTGTTTTTTAGTCATTTTCTTAGTAGTTACCCTGGACGTTAAAATTTACATCTTAAGCTTGATAATATTTAGGCTTCAATTTATGCTAATTTAACTTGAATTTCATAACCAATCCTGTTCCTATATAGCTGTTGGGCTTACTTTGTATGACAGTTCCAATAATTACCTCTTTATATATTTTATAGTCAATAACAGATTTATAATTATTGTTTTACACATTTCTTTTCAACCATATAGGAGAAATATAGTAGTTAAAATAAAAACAATTGTCTTTTATATTTACCTATGTGGGTAATTTTATTAGTGCTCCTTATGTGTCCTTATAGTTTTGAGGTTCTGCTAGTATCCTTTCATTTTAGCCTGAAGGACTATCTTTAGTATTTTATGTAGTGTGAGACCTTTATTGCAAACTCTCTCAGCTCTTGATTATCTGGGAATTTCTTAATTTTGTCATCAATTTTGAAAGATAGTTTGTCTGATAGTGAATTCCTGGTGGATTTTTCTTTTTTCCTTTCAAACTTTGAATGTCATCCCACTAATTTCTGGCCTCAACAGTTTCTGATGGAAAATCAACTGTTTATCCTACTGAGGATCCCTGGACATAAGTCATTTCTGATTTGCTACTTTCTTGGTTTTCTTGGTTTTCCACAGTTTGATTTTATATCTTGCTGTAGATCTCTGTAAGTTTACCATAATTGGAGTTTATTGAGTTTCATGGGTGTATAAATTCATGTTCATTATCATTTTCTACAAATGCAAATATTAATATTTCTATAAATATCAATTTCTTTCTGAGCTGGGTATGGTGGTTCACACCTAGAGCCCCAGCACTTTGGGGGGCCAAAGCAGGAAGATTGCTTGAGGTCAGGAGTTTAAGACCAGCCTAGGCAACATAGTGAACCTGCCTCTATAAAAAATAAGAAAATTTGGTGGGTGTGATAATGTACACACGTGTAGTTCCAGCTACTTGGGAGGCTGAGGTGGAAGGATTGCCTGAGCCCAGGAGATTGCGGCTGCAGTGAGCTGTGATTGTGCCACTGCACTCCAGCCTGGGTGAGAGTGAGACCTAAATTAAAAAAAAAAACAAAAAACCCAAACCAAATATTCTTCTGCCTTTTACTCTCTTTTCCTCTGGAGGTTCCTATTATGCATACATTCATACGCTTGATGGTATCCCAAAGATTTCTCAGTCACTTTTAAATTTTTCTTCACTTTACCCCCTTCTGGTGAGACTAGATAATTTCAATTAACCTATATTGAAGCTTGCTGATTCTTTATTCTGTCAATCGGCTGTTGAACCTTTATAGTAAAATTTTCATTCCAGTTATACTTTACAGCTTCAAATTTTCTATTTCACCTTTAAAAAATAATTTTAATCTCTTTATTGATATTCTCTATTTGTTGAAGCATTGTTTTACTTTCCTTTAAATCTTTGTTCAGTTTCCTTTAGTTCTCTGAACAGGTATAAGATAGCTATTTAAAGTATTTTTTAGTAAGTGCAATGTCTGTGCTTCCTCAGAAACATCATTAAACCAGTAATCATGTTTCAATTTGCCCAGCGGGGAGAAATCTTCAGATTTCTTCAGATGTTTCAATTTGGCCTGCTGAGAGAAAGTCAATGTGACATTCTTTAGAACAGCGAAAATTAAAGACCTCTATGTCTTCATTAAGAGAATGCTTCAATAAGAAACTAAAAGCTCAAGCTATCTCTGTGTTTACTAACATGAAAAACATACAAAGACATATGGTATACAAATATTTAAATTTGCAGAATGTATCAGGAGTGGCAGTTCATGTCTGTAATCTCAGCACTTTGGGAGGCTGAGGCAAGAGGATTACCTGAGCCCAGGAGTTTGAGACCAGGCTGAGCAACATGGTGAGACCTCATCGCTACAACAGACCAAAAAATTAGCTGGACATGGTGGTATATGCCTGTGGTTCCAGCTACTTGGAAGGCTGAAGTGGAAGGATTGTCTTGAGCCCAGCAGGTCAAGGCTGCTGTCGCCATGAGCATGCCACTGCACTCCAGCCTGGGTGACAGAGTGAGACTCCAATTCAAAAAAAAAAAAAAAATTGCAGAATAAAATATCACAACAAAATATTCACTAAATATTCTCTAAAATTACATTAAGGTTTACAAATGCATTGTTATGTGACTTGTACTGAAGAGAATGAACAGTAAGTAGTTCCTGATGAAGACAGTGAGTGAGAGTGAAGATGGGCAACATGATGTTTTACTTCTTAGTCCCTAAGCTAAATCACTGCATGATTTAATACAAAAGAAATATAATATTTAACAAATAGTGCAATCAGATTTTGGCTCTAGCCTTTCCGATGACAGAAAGTTCTGCTCCTATGTCTTAGCTAAATTATAATATTTTTTCTTTTTTTGAGTTGAAGTCTCACTCTGTTGCCCAGGCTGGAGTACAGTGGAGTGCTCATGGCCACCATAGCCTTGACCTGCTGGGCTCAGGTGATCCTTCCGACTTTGCCTTCCAAGTAGCCAGAACTATAGGTTCATACCCCATTCACTTATTCATTCATTCATTCATTCATTCATTCATTGCAGAGATGAGGTCTCATCATGTTGCTTAGGCTGGTCTCGAACTCCTTATTGCAGAGACAAGGTCTTGCCATGCTGCTCAGGCTGGTCTCAACCCCTGGGCTCAGGTAATCTTCTTACCTCCACCTCTCAAAGTGCTGGGATTATAGGCATGGGCCACTGTACCTGGCCAAACTACAACAATTCTTATTTAAACACCTGTTGCATGAGAGTTCCTAAATGAGCAGCAGGATCTTTGTGGGATGGATATGCTGTGAATAATTTAAAGAACCTCCTGCAGTCAGACAATTTATTCCATATTTTAAAACCAATTATGGGAAAAAAAAGACTCTCTATCCCTAATGTCTATTTCTGAATTTCCCATTCTATTCCCAATTTTTTTTTTTTTTTTGAGTTAGAGTCTCGTTTTCACTGAGGCTGGAGTACAGTGGCGTGCTTACAGTTGCTGCAGTTTCTACCTGCTGGGCTCAGGTAATCCTTCTCCTTCAGCCTCCCAAGTAGCTGGAACTACAGGCATAGGCCACCACGCTGGGTTAATTTTTTTAATTTATTGTAGAGAGGAGGTCTCGCTAAATTGCCCAAGGTGGTCTTGAACCCTGGGCTCAGACAATCCTCTTGTCTCTGCTACTCAAAGTGCTGGGATTACAGGCACGAGTCACTGTGCTTGGCCTCTCCACTATTAATATTTTGGAGCCAGAAACACACTGATTCAATTGTTTAGCTTCAAATAGATCATATGATCAGGCAAAGCAGGTTTCCTTCATCAGTCTTCTTTTTTTTTTTTTTAAGTATTCTTAATTTATCTTTGCGTTAGCACTTAAAATATATATTTCTATTTCAAGATAACATTTAAAAATTATTTTAATATAACAGCAGCAAAAATATAATTCTGCAATTGTATAAGAGCTAACCTGGAATCCATAATTAAGTAATTCTCATGTTTACAATTGTGATTCTGAAATAAATACTACTACGATGCAGCTTTGTTGTCAGCTGTTTAGGTTTGCTTTAAACACACACATACACTTTCAGTTGAGTGAGCTTTATAAAGTTATATGCTACACACTTTTTTGAAAAAGATCTAAAAGAGTCAACCAGTCCACAAGACAAGCAGAAAGTTAAATTAGCTGGGATATATATATAACATCCAAAGCATGAGATATCCTGCAGCAACTAGGAGTACTTCAGGGTTGGCTGGCAGTCTTCTTTAGAACTAATTTCATCCTAACAGTTTAAGGAAGTGGACATTTTAATACCATTAAGTGCATTTAAGTTATGTTTCTTTTGTGTTAATTTTACTCCCCAATAACCTAGTTCCTTTCTTGCAGGCCAATATTCAAAATACCATGTAACTGTCTGAGACCATTCAAATAATTTATTTTCAACCTAAACATGTAACCCCAATAATGATATGTCTAATTACAGCGAGCTCCTTCAACAAGACCAAAATAGCATCTCTTCTTCTAAGGTTTAGGTGTTGCCCAGAATTCTCGATACATGGAATAGCCCATACCAACAGTCATTGCTCCTACAATAAAGCCTTGGGCTGTCACTTGCATGTGGATCAGGTGAAGAGACAGTTTGGTATTTCCCCTGTTCTTCAATTTGTATAATCCATATGCAACAATTGCTGCAAAACCTGCCATTCCAGTGGGGACAAATGGTGCCTCTTTAGCTTTTCGAATAAGTTTGCATCCCTGATCTTCATCATAAGAAGAAAGGGAAACATCTGTATCAGTTGACATAGTGATTGCTTGAAGAATCTTCCAAGAGCAAGAAACCCCTCATGATCCAACTGGCTTCTGATCAGTCTTCTTTTTCATAGTTTTTCAGGTATTTGTGTACATTAACAAATCACTTACACATGCAGTTTCTTTAATCCTGATTTGTACAGAGCTGTAAGGGCGTCTAGAGGGGGTCTCTAAACAGTCACTACTGCCCAACCTCATTGACACCATAAACCCCACTTCCTATCTCCAATCCATGTCTCATCATAAAACTCTTCCCTGAATAATCCTCTAAATGGAGGCTCTTCCCAAGTTCTATGTTGCTGGGCCACAGGAGATGGAATCTATGTGGAAATGGAATTGAGGGAAGGCCCTGTGTGTGCATATTCATGTTAGGCAGGATACTTCAGTCAGAGATTTAGCCAGTTCAAAAAATGGCATTTCTAGAAGGAGAGGACAGAACAATCAACCAAGAATATGACTTTTACCTGAGAGAGAGCCATTCCCTGCTTTCTTTCTTCCCTTTTCTTCTGGGCTTCTTTCTCAGGTCAGATTAGTCTGTGTGTCAATAATAGGTTGTTTAATGCTTAGAATCAGCGTACCTCCTTCCTCTGCCATAACTACACATATGGGGAGAATCTTTTTTTTTTTTTTTTTGAGTTGGAGTCTCACTCTGTCGCCCAGACTGGAGTGCAGTGGCCGCTCCTGGCTACCATAGCCTCGACCTGCTGGGCTCCAGAGATCCCTCCGCCTCAGCCTTCCCTGTAGCCAGAATTACAGACGCGCGCTACCACGCCCGGCTGATTTTTTAATTTATTGTAGAGATGAGGTCTCACTGCCCAGGCGGGTCTTGAACCCGTGGGCTCAGGCAATCCACTCACCTCAGCCTCCCAAAGGCGCGGGATTACAGGCTGAGCCTGGCTTTGGGAGAATCTTAATATGGGGAAAAGATGGTCCTTAGTTGCTCATTGCAAAAGAAGGAATTCAGGGACAATAAACTCCTATATAGAGACTGAACAGTGAGTTCTTTTACTTATTTCTTCAAAAGAACCCTCTCCTTCTAGTGAAACTCCCATATTCTGCTTCAATTGCATTGTCCTTTGTCCTTCCGGTAATCAGTCAAAGAGAACCCTTTATCCAAGTTCATGGCCGTTCCCTGGGTAGCCAGCATCCAATGACTGGTCAATGCAGGATATGAAAGCCTGTCCCTTCTCTCATTTGGAACAACTCTGAAGAAGACCATAACTCAAGAGCTCCTTGCTACAATCAGGGCAGACCATAAAAGGGTTTAATGCCATAAAAGAAAACAATACAATCACACTTAATACTCCTGATGCAGAGGTAGAGAGCTGAGACAGAAGCATCTCTCTTGCCTCTGAGTCTATGCCTCTTTTCTAGTGGCTTTTTTAAAAAAAAATTTAAATCATTTCTGGAGGACTGAGAGTCCTTTGAGATTCTAACTGGGTACCCTCTCTCAAAAACTGCCACATGCAAAGACATATTTTGAAAATCGTTTCTGAAATCCCATTTGTCCAGATTCAGAACCTCTGGTAGGCATGCTGAGGCTCAGAGAGGGGAGTCATTTAACCAAGTGTCCCTGGAGAGGTCTGTGTTGAGTGAGCAGAATTCACTTGAAACTGGATTCTAAAATGGTGACCTGGACGGAGTAGTGGGAAGGGTCTGTTCTTATTTCAGATTACCTTTGGTACTCCCAAATAGGAGAAGTTTCTATTTCATGGGTTTCACCAATCCCAAACATTTAATTCCTCTTTTCCAGAAAAATATGTTAAAAACATGAAATTACAAATGATTATTACTACTGGAAAACACAAAAGGAGATCAGCTGTGGAGATTAGCTCTGAGCAATCTCTTCATTATGAGTTGTATTGGAACAAAATTCCACATCGATTAAGCCCATCTTTCAATGTTGTATACAGAAAGTACTTAGGGGAACATCTATGTGGTTGGTGACTTTAGCTCAGAGTTGGCCAATTACTAGATCACATAAAGGAAAAAAGAAACTGAATACAGCTGACCCTTGAACAATGCCAGGGTTAAGGGTGCGGATCCCCTCATGCAGTCGAAAATCCATGTATAACTTTTGACTCTGCCAAAACTTAACTACAGTAGCCTACTGTAGACTTAACAATAACATAAACAGTTGACTAACACATATTTTGTATGCTATATGTATCACATATGTACTCTGACATAATAAGCTAAAGAAAATGTTATTAAGAAAATCATAAGGAAGAGAGAAAATATATTCACTACTTATGAAGTAGAAGATCATCATAAAGGTCATCATCCTTGCTGTCTTCACGTTGAGTAGGCTGAGGAGAAGGAGGAGGAGGAAGAGAAAGGGTTAGTCTTGCTGTCTCAGGGGTGACAAAGACTGAAAAAAATTTCTGTATAAGCCAACCCACCCAGCTGAAACCTGTGTTGCTCAAGCGTCAACTATATAAAACTAACTGGTTAAGCTAGGCTTTGAGTGTTGGAAGATTGCCAACATCCTTACAGCAAAACACTGTAAAATCAGTTATCAGACATCCAAAAACAGTTCCAATAATAGAGGAAGAGTAGAAAGTATTTAAATCTCATAACTGAACATTGCATTCAAGGGAGAAAATTTGAAAATTGTTTTAAAATTCAATAAATTCTGGAATTAAATTTACAGCAATTTGAGTGTATGTCAAATTTAGAAAAGAATGACATAAGCCATTAAAAACAAAAAAGGAAGTGGAAACTATATATTGAAATTTTAAAGCAGAGTTTATTAGCGAGAAGAAGAGAGGGAAAAAGGAAGGTTCGTGGCAGAAAGACCCATCACGGGCAAGTTTCTCCAAAAGAAAAACCACGGAGGGAACATTGTTAATGACCCGTTCAACAGCACTATGTGGAGTCATTTCTTGCATTCTTCTCTCCCAAGGTGAAAGAAAGGGAAGAGGGTGATCTGGAATTAACTAATTCAGTTAATCCTCTGGCTGAATAGGGGCTGCACACGGTACAGCGTTTTGGTGCAATAATTAGAAAATACAGAAGCCCCACCTGGCTTTGCAATCCTCATTCTCTTCTGCAGAATTTAAACAATTTAACACATTTTAAGTGAATTACACGATAGAGTCACACATCAGTATTTCATAATTTAATGTTCCATATCCAACCAGTTCGGCCCTCCCCTGGATTTGGGTCCCCACCCCCTTTCTCCACCACTGTTTTATTTATTTATTCCCCCCCCCGTAAATGTCTTTTTCCCTCCTGGTTTCTTTCCTTTAATTTTTCATGTTCTCGTTCCTTTCCCTTTCTGCGTTTCCCTCTCTCGGTGTCTGCTCATTTTCTCTCCCTTCCTCCACGTTCGGCCTCACTCAGCAGCATCCTTTGCTGCGACGCCCTGCAGTTCTTTTTCCAGATAACGATGTAACCGAGCTCGAACTGCGCAGATGGCTCCGTTTTGTCTCCCATCTGTACCCCTCTCCTTTCCCTGGGGGGGCCGAGGGGTGTGTGTGTGCCCACCCTCGGAGGGAGGCGTTTCCCCGACGTGGTGGACATAGACAGGGAATTGGGCAGTGTCTACACGGAACGAAGGCAAAAAGGTCGAGCCGTCCCCCGGTCCCCACTTCCGAACGATTTTAATACGAAATGGACGCAGACCTCCGGGCCCGCTCGGAGCGACAGGACTCGGAACGTCTCAGGACCACGCCGCGAGAGAGACGAGCAGGCTCTGGGGCTTTAACCTACAGGGCGACCCCCGAAACCCGGTAGTGGAGCACGGGGACCCGGGAGCCGCAGAGCGCCAGGTTTGAACCAAAAAGACGGGACTCACTCACCAGACATTGCCCGGCAACTGGCGGGATCCGCTTCCGGGTCTGCAGGAAACTGCGCGTGCGCGAGCGCATTGGGGCCGTAAGGGGCGGGGCCGGGGCCGGCG